CGCATCTGAATTCTCTTTTCATCCCTGTTTCCATCCCCTTTCTTCCTCCTCCCTCTATCGCCTGATTCCTTTTCTCTTTGGAAAAAAAAATCTATGTCTCTACTTCCTATAATCTTTTATTTTGTCCTTTACTTATAATTTGAGTTTCGCATATAAGAGAAACCATTCGGTCCTTAAGCTTATATGTCTGGTTTATTTCACTTCACATAATGTTCTCAAGGTATATCTATTTTCCTACAGATGACCCAAGTATCTCTTTCTTTACTCCATTGTGTTTAATTACCACATTTTCTTTACCCATTCACTGGTTGTTGAGCATACAGCCTCTACCAAGTTGTAGCTGTTCTGAATTGTGCTATAAACACAGGTGTGCATGTATCACTGTAATACAATGTTTTAACCCCTTTAGTAAGATACATAGAAGGGGAATGGAAGGGTCAAATGGAATTTCTGATTTCAGGTTTTTCTGAGAAATCTCCATACTGATTTCCATATTCACTATCCCACCAATGGTGTAAAAGGATTCCTCCCCTCTCCCCAGCCCACCACAGCCTTGACAACATTTGTTATTATTACTATTTGATTTTTGATGATGGATATTCTTTTTGGGGTATGGTGGAATCTTGGTAGTGTTCTTTATAGCCAGTGATATTGAGCATTTCTTCACGTATTTCCTGGCCATTTATACTTCATTTTACATGCCCATTTTTTGATTGGAGTTTTTATTTTCTGCGGTCTAATTTTTTGAGTTCTTTATATATTCTAGACATTTGTTCCCTGTTTGAGATATAGCTGGCAATCTTTTTTCCATACTATAGGCTGTCTTTTCACTGTGTTGGTTATTTTTTTTTTTTTTGCTGTGCAGTAAGGAAAAAATTTTTCTGCAAATCTGTTTCTTGCACATTCTCTCTGTCAAATCAGCAACCATGAGATAAATGAGTCACAATATTTTGATGTGAAGCAGGAATTAAATTCCAAATGAATATCCTTCTGGGAATCTTTAAACTAAGTCTAAGGATTATGTACCATAAAAAGGTAATATCTACTCTTACTGGTCTGTCATCCTACCCTCTCCCTCCAAAAAATAAAAAACCTGATTTCAGAATCAAAGTAGTCCTTTTTATAAGTGAGTAAATCCCATAAAGTAGGAAAAGCCAAGACAAATAAGTGATACAGTGTTTTAAATATTTTGGGTTTTTTTTTCAGATACCATCCACTCTAAAATACTTTTAGACATCATGTATGTATTGTAAATCATGAGGCTCACCTTATCTGATGACTGTGTTAATTAGCTAGTAGCTTTCTGCAAGTTGCCTTTTTCTCAAAATGTAAAAGAAAAGTGCTATAAAAATGGAGGATAATTATGCTTGTTTGTATTATTTCCAGAGTAAGATGTTTATGGAGGGGAGTTTTAATTCTGACAGACTGATAGGTTCAAAATCCTCATGTGCAGCCTGAGCTGCAAAGGTATTAGCTAACATTTATTAAGAACGTGATCTATTCTAGGTACTGTTTTCAAACTTTTGCCTGTTATTTCATTGAATTCTCATTGTAGCCTTGTGTTGTTTTTAAACTTATTCTTATCCATGAGAAAATGAGGTGTGTAACTCAGAATCACAAACCAAAGCAGTGTGGTTTTAGAGTGATTCCCATGGCTGCATTAAGGACAAGCAGAAAGAAGGAGAGATCTGAAGACCTACTTCAGAGATACAAAGCTATATTTAAAGATTATTTTGTAGGCTGGGGAATGTAGTTCCCTGATAGAGCACTTACCCAGCATTTGCAGGGCCCTGGATTTGATCTCCAGCACTGAAAAATATATATGTATTTTGTTGTTGTTGCTGTTACGTTGGTAGTCTGTAAAATTCTAGGAAGAAATATGTCATAAGAAAGCAGTGCCTCTATGAGTAGATTTTTAGACTGGTTGTGGAATGCAAAATTATAGCCTAATATATTCAAACCCAGGGTCCCTTTGGATGTAGCATAAGAACTTTCACCTTTCACAAATATTTGCTCTGAGAGCTTCCACGTTTATAATAAACAATCATGCACCAGCATTCTGTGCATCTGTTGAGTTGATCTCTTGAAAACATGACCATATAGTACAGTCAGATTTCATGTGAGCTATTTTTTGCTGGGTAGGTACACTAGCTATGAAAGACATGAAGTCATAAACTTGGCAGCAGGTCCAAAATAGCCAGTTGGGCCACGAATATTAACATGCTCATTATGTGCATTTATTGTGCATGGACTCGCTGCTGTCCAAATCTACCCTGAGTCCTCAATCAAGAAGTAATGATAGGAGCACGGCTAACATGATATGACTGGGGACAATACAGAGTGACATAACCCGAGGTGATGAGGAAAACACTTATAGTTTCCTGACCATCCCTTCCCAACTCTCTGCAATTTATTTTAATGTCCATTACATCCTCGACCTGGATGTCACAGACAGAAAAGCCAAAAGGTATTTATGAAGCTGTACCCATCAATACTACCCATGGTGCAGCCAAGATGAAGCCAGGAACAGATGGATTTGTGCCTTCCGCCTGCTCTTGGTGCCTGTAGTTCTAGCTGCAGACCTAGGGGCTAGCTGGACATCTCCTCAGAGCCCAGGTGCCTTCCACGAAAACCCAGAGGAACTTCGAGAATCTTCCACATTGACCCTTGCTCTATTAAGAGGGAAAAACAGCAGAAAGAAGGACAAATCAGATTTCAGTCTAGAATGAGGATACAGAGGAATAAACAATACAAACAAGCAAAACCTTGTAGTTTTGTAGTTGCAACTTTATAAGGCAGTTCAAGCATTCTCATTTCTAGCCCCAAACACCAAGATTCAGAAATGCACTTTTAAATAACTCCTTATTTTGTGTGCACAGTGATTATTTATCCTGGATGCAGCCCTTGAATTTGCAGTAGATGCATGGAACTCGCATTGAGCAACACACCACATCCGAAACACTGGGGATTCTCTCCTATGATGTCACATCCAGAAAGAAATCCCATAGTTTCCTGCAAGGAAATATCTCACAATTCCTAAAAATATTTTCTTTTCACTAAATAGGAATAGCTGCTTCTCTTCTTCAGAGAGAATTCTGTTGTACGGATTTAAAGGTTTTGCACCCAGAATTCCTGGTGGGGAGAAATGCCTATTCAACCCAAAACCAAACTGCACATAATTTCATCTTTCCTTAAGGATTGAGAGACTTACTCTGAAATCTCCCTGAAACTCAGGAATTGTAGTATACAGCACCGTGTGTTATATAAAAGAAATATAAATATAGCAGTTGACAGATGGTCTGAGACCAGTGTCCCAGTCATCGATGTCTGTACTGGCAATTAGGCACCGTGTCCCCTGAACGTCTCCTCACTGCAGAAGTGAAAGAACACAGTTAATTCTTCTCACTGTATGCAGTTGAGCTAAAAACTCAGAAAGAAAAACATCGTTGTTTTCTGGAAGGAGAGATAGAAGCAAAAAGATACAAAATAATGAGTTTAAAATGGATTTTCATCTCTAAAACAGTGGTCAACAAGATTGCTGGTTATCCAAGATTTGGTTATAAATAAATAAATCAATAAAATAAGGATATCACTAATGGAAAAATTATTAAATTCTTACCGTTTCTCATTTCCTCTGATATTTATTATTTTCTCCATCACCTAATGATAAAAACTAGAGGCAAATTTCCAAAGGAGCTAAGTTGCAAATCATGTCTTGAAGGAAAGAAAGAGGGCAGAAAGAGAGAAAAGAAAAAGACAAAAAGAAAGCCAAAGAATAAAAGAAAGTAAAGAAAAAAGTGTTTTTTTTTTTTTAAAAAAAAAAGGCAATTTTAGAAGTGCTTCCAGGATTTGAATTAAGTATGGCATTAGATTTTTTCCACCAAGTGTTAACCATGGCAAGTTTCTGCTAAAACGCAGGAATTTCATGGATGTGGGAACCGGTGATGGAAAATGCTTTATTATACACAACAATTGTTGTACTTGGGAGAAACTATACGGGGAAAAGATAACACCCTAGAATAAATACAAATGAAATTCATGTATCAAAACCAATACTGTGAAACTAGTTTAAATGTTTCTTGAATTTATATCTAGTCATTAACCTAAATGCAGATTTCAGGGCAAGCCACAATTCTGCCTCATGGTCAGAAAGCCTGGGAACCTGTGGCGTGGAAAATTGGCAGGATAAAGAATATTGAATTGGTCTCCATGGAGAAACAGATTTGGCAGCCATCGCCTCCTCCCCAAACCGGTCTCTTTCCCCTCTTTTTTCTTCTTCCCTGTGTCACTCTTGTCCCAGCAAAGAGCCTAAGGGAAGGGCATCTGTGAACTAAACCAGCAAGCCCATGTCAACCTGATCTTCACTAAAGGACTTTTCTCACTGATCTCGAAGCTCACGGGTAGAGTGAGCCCCCGAAACGTCCCCAAATCAGACTTGCCCACTGGTAACAGAGATTTCCATTTCTACTCTGGTTTCCTTCCTCAAGGAAAGAAAACAGGGGTACCTGCGTCACTGAATGGCCCTAAAAGAAACTACAATTCACAGATGGAAATAATAAATTTATTCACACACAAAAAAAATCGCTGAAAATCCATTCCTCTCTCCCATCACACCTGTCATGTTTTACTCCCATGATTATTTCAAGGATAGCAGACATTTCTTTGGAATTTTATCCAATCTAGAGAACAAAATCGAGGAACTTCTCTGAAATGATTTCTCCAACTTGGAAGATCCTAACAAATATCCCACTTTGTCCCTCTAGCTCAAGTTCACTCCCCGCTGGGTCTACCAGAAGCCCAGGCTCCACAAAGCAGCCCCATTTTGGGGGAAGAGGTTTCCTTCCAGCCTCATTTCTACCCTCCTCAGGCTCCCTTAGCAAGATTCAGGGTCCTTTGCATGAGTAAATTGGGGTGAGCACCACAGCTCCCAGTGAATGTTGTCCATGTGCTTTGCCTGTGCCTCTAGGTGGTTTTCACCCTGATTTTTTCTTTCTTTGCAGCTGGTTAATAATCCTCTAGCAAGTCAGGCCGCAGCGGCTGCAGCCATGGGCTCCCTAGCAAGCTCCCAGGCCTTTGGCAATGCCCTCTCCAGCCTTCAGGGGGTCACGGGTCAACTAGTTACTAATGCACAAGGACAGGTGAGTGGGAGATGGGGACAAGAGTGAATTTTTATGGCAGATTGAACTCGGAAAGGAAATGAATTTCTTTTGCATGACAGTGATATGTAACTACATCTATCCAAGGCAAATAAATAATGTTTACTAGCAGTGTCAAGAATAGGAGAAGGGTTGGGAGGTGTTTCTATATTTTAGGAGCAAGATTTTTCTTTCCTTCCCAGAGAATGTCAAAAACAGATTTGGTTTTTTTTTTTTATGTACTTATTTATTTATGCAATGACTTATTACCTTTGTTGAAGAAGTTCCTTTTCATTATTGAGGCCTTTTTTTGAACCAAACAACAAAAAGTTAAATCTTTGGAAATAAAATTTCAGTTTTGCTTTTGAATATTTCACTTTTTTAAAAATACACTTAAATATGAGAAGGAAACTGGTACATTTCCTTCCCTGGCTGCTGTGAGATTTCTAAGTGAGTTTCCATAATAGTGATTTGTAAAGTAGAGGAAAGTGCTAAACAAACCCTGTAAAGCCCCCAAGGAGAGGGGGAGTTAGATGCCAATTGTAAGTCGCCCCCACAGTTCCTGCTGGTTCTCAGGGAGGCCAGGAGTCACCTGCGCACCTACAGATTTTCTTTAGTCTGTCAGGGCCAGTCAGTCGTCCTCATGTCATGAGAAAGCAACTCTGCCCCTATGCTGCTAATATGCCCATGTCAACACGTCCCAAGACAACACACTGAGAGAGCCTCAGATGGCCCAGGACACTTGAAAGTGACATGGAAAGCAAACAAGAGTGACACTGCTGATGTCAGGGGTGCCCTCCAATCAGAACCCCAGCAGGGTGGTGAGGGCTCTGGCTTCTCCTTTGTAGCTGTCTGTGATCGGGAAACCCAGGGAGAGACAGTGTGCATCCTCACAGATTTCCCTTCTCAGTGTTATTTATTTTTACAGACCCTCTGCTCGGCCTGCTCTGGTGGGTGAGCAGGAATTGCAATGTGTTTGACCCCGTTTTTATCTTACATAAAGAATAAACAAAGATGCATTATAAGCTAAACCATCTCCATCTACATCCCAGGGAAAGAAAAAGCTGACCTTGTTCTATTTCCTAGGTGGGTGTGGGATTGTCCCATCATAAGTCGCAGGGCTGAACGATGGCGCTTGTCAAAGAGAGGCCCCGTGCAATGAATCATCTTATCACAGGTGCACACCACACATATTAAAGGAGGGTTGTATGAACACTGTGCCCTCTACAGTAACCTTTCAGTGTCTGCTTTAACCCTTGTTCCAATCCCTTTTCATCAAAAGATCATTTTATGCAGCTGACTCTAAATGGAGGCTCTCAAAAGCCTATTAAGATTTCTGGAAGGAGGGGGGATCAGGGTGGAGGAAGAGTTGTTTTAAATACACATAACTCCTACCTGCTCCAGGTCAGTGCTGGAAGATGTTTCCTAGAGTTGCGCCCCAAATGGAACACTTTGCTTTTCTATCTTTAGGTTGGAGAGCCCTTAAAATGAAAAATTTTCCCCCTAGTACTGGGGATTGAATCCAATCCTTCATGCTGAGCTACATCCCAGCCCTATTTTTACTTTTATTTTTTATTCTGAGATGAGGACTCACTAAAGCACTATATTGCCCAGGCTGGGCTTGAACTTACCATCCTCTTACCTTCGCCTCCTAGACTGCTGGGATTACAGTGCGTGCTTACATACCTCCTGTGAATTTTAAGAGTTCAAGATAGAAAACATATCCATTGATGAGCATTCTCTGTACAGCTTCTAAATAAAATGCACAACTTATGTCCCACAGCTTGAGTATTTTACTGGAGGAAATGTTTTATTGTCTAGAATGAATTACTCAGAATTTATTCTTCTGATGATTTAATAGCTGATCACATAGCCAGTTACAGATTCTCAGGGCTTAGAGACAACTTTTGCCAGCCCTTAGTCCGAGCAGTAGCTCTCCCAGATCAGCAGTATCCCTGAGAAAATGATCTTCCAAGTTGACGACTGATTGCTAATTTTACTGTAAATTTTTATTTCAGAAACTGTGTTATGATGGTTTATTTGGTTTGGTACCCAAGCCTCCTAAAGTGGAAAAGAATTATGTTCACAGAATCATCAGTAATGGCTACTTAGAAAGTCTTGTCTAAGCTTTAACACGTCTCTAACGAGGTCACATCCTTCTTCTAGTACTGAAAGAGTATGAGGAGGAACATTCACAGTAGATGAACTGGCCACGTTCATGAAGCACTGTTCTGTTGTTGTTGTTATTGTTGTTTTAACCTTTAGAAGTAATGGTAGATACCACCAAAAAGACAAAGTCAGGAAAAAAATATTTGGTGTATGTGTGTGTGTGTGTGGTGTTCCTTTGGCTTGTGTTAATGTGATCCAAAACATAAGAGTACATTGGAGTCAGGTTAATATAATTAGTCTTGCTCAAAATACCATGTGAATAACACCCTAAGAGGTTAGACTTGCAAATTCAAGCCCAGCCTGGACAACTTAGTGACTTGGTGAGACCCTGTATCAAAATGAAAAATAATAAAAATAATAAAATGGCTGGAGTTTAGTATGAAGGCACTGGTTTTAATCTCCAACACCACAAAAAGAAAAATAAATGTGAACTAGCGAAACTATATCCATCCCGTTTTTATCTTCTTTAAAAAAAACCAATAGAATTTTCCTGCAAAAACTACAAAGAGAAAACTCTTACTATATTTAAAAATCCTTTTATTGGGGTTCTTGACAGCAACTACTTTTTACATTTGAAAGTTTGCCCAGTGGTACTATCATTGGCAGTAAGGCTTAGGAAGGGAGGTTAGGTCTGCAGAGAAAGCATCCAATAGGGGGCCGTGCCTGATCCTTGCTCCCCACCTGCCGAGTGCTAAGGAGGGAGCTACCTGGAAACAACAGACAGGATTGCCCAGTGGGGCACAGCCCTGACTTTGAACTCATCCCTATCCTGAAAATTCAAATGGACCCATGGGAAGCTGTTGCATCCCTGCAAGGCAGGCAGCCAAGTGGTACTAGGTCAGCCTCCCCCAGGGGGTGAGGGAGGAGCATGCTGGAATCTTCCTTCAGCCTCTTGGCCTTCAGCTCTCAACAGGAAGAACTTCTACCCCCTGGGACTCTCAATTCTGCATCCTTGTCTTAGAATCTGATTGTGTTTTCATTAACTGGTTTCCAGTAAATGTAAAGGGATAGAAAATCTCAATATGCTGAAGGATTTTTTTCTACTCCTTTTTTTTTTCTCAATAAGTAATTGTGAACAAATATTCAGGAAAAATTTCAGGTATTATTATTATACGGTTTTAACTCTGCCTGAATTATTCATGTGGTATTAATTCAAAAGACAGTCATTATTTAATACAGTTTCATTGTTTTTTTGTTTCATTTTATCTTATTTTGCTGTCATTTTGGGTCGGAGGGATTGAACCTTTGCTTGGAGCTATATCCCCAGTCCTTTATTAAGTTTTTATTTCAAGACAGGGTCTTGCTAATTCATTCAAGTTGCTAAGGCTGGACTCCATTTTGCAGTTCTCCTGCCTCTGCCTCCAGGTACAATTGTGTTTTGGTTTTTTTGTTTTTGTTTTTTGGTGCCGGGGATCAAACTCAGGACTGCTCACTTACAAGGCAAGCACTTATGCTGCTGAGCTAAATCCCCAGCCCCGTTGAATTGTTAATTTTAATGTAAATGCTACATTCTAAAGCCACAAGTCACATGTCTCACCCCGAGATACTAAGATATTTCAAAATTATATTGTACCCAGCTCCATTCTGAGGTGGGAAATACAGTGTGTGTTTTCCTGGTAATCAGTGGCCACAGATTGATCTTGACTGTAGTGTTGTTGAAACAAACACACCGGTTCTTTTGACTTACTGAACTGGGGACCCAGGCAGTTAGGAAAAGTTGGCAAGGATATAAGCCTAAACTGTGGCCCCAGAATCCCAGTACTGGCTCTAACCTGAGCAAATTTCTTGAGCTCTCCGAGCATCAGTTTTCCCATAATCTCTTACATAGCTGTGCTAAAGGTGTGTGAGATGCGTTAGAGAGTGTGAGAGTCACAGTAGTAGGATGTCAAAGTCATTTTAGGGAAATCTGATCTTTATCTGATAATTCAGTGGGAGGAGGTGTTCGTGCGCATGCGTGCGTGCGTGCGTGCGTGCGTGCGTGTGTGTGTGTGTGTGTGTGTATGTGTGTGTCTAATGCTCATTTAGTATGTTTGGGTTTTGGCAAGTAGATTTAGCATCGATTTGTTCAGCTTTAGAATTGGCTTCCCTCATGCCCCTGGCAATCTCTCCTTATTGGTGTTATTACAGAAAAGTAAAAGCAAATGAAATTTTATTTTATCCTGGGGTTAAGGAAAGCATTTTACATTTACCGGAACCTTAGAATGTTTCCTGATAAAATTAAGTCCTCGACTACTGCGAAGTTTTCATAAGTAGTAGCAAGTAAAGTCAGCGACTGCTTCTCTCTCGGTCTTTAAAGAACTAGGGAAGTTTAAAAAAAAAAAAAAAAAAAAAAGCACCTAGCACGAGTGTGGTGGCCCATGCTTACAATCCCAACGCTCTAAAAGGCTGAGGCAGGAGCATCGCAAGTTTGAGTTCTGACTGAGTAACTTAGTGACTTAGCAAAATCGTGTCTCAAAATAAAAAATAAAAAAAGAGCTAGGGATGTAGCTTAGTGTAAAGGCCCTGAGTGTAATTCTCCCTACCAAAAGGTAAAAAAAGGTCAATTAAACAGCATTACTTTTAATATATAAAAAGAAAATAAAAAGGTCAAGAGATTTACCCACACAGGTTACTTGACTGACATGACTGAACAATGACTGACGGGCAGAGTTGGTTTGGTGAGACAGAAGGACTTGCTGTAGCAGTCAGCGGACAGAAGCTGCCTACTGAAATGATGTTGGGACCATGGAAGAGGAAAGGAAGCCACTGCTGTACACTGAGATGTGGAGCAGGATGTGCCCTTACAGGAACAGAAGCAGCCCCACCTGCACTCAGAGCTCGGGCTGGAGAGGAGG